AGTCAGACATCAGTAATGATCTGCTTGAAGAAGGGCATATCTTAGAAGTAGTGCATTTATTTGTACTGCAAGGCAAGAAGATGTACTAAGTTATAAAGAAGATTCTTAGTGCTTGAAGAACACTGAGCAGATACAGTGTGTAATTTGCTGGGCAGCTGTGATTAAAGAATTGACTAATGTGTGTCTCGGTGCTTGTTCAGAATATTAAAAGTTAGTGTAATAGAGGTTGTCTAAAAGAAATGTTAATGCTCTGCTATCCTATCCTCTCCTTTTGGAGTTACCTGAGCTACACTGATCTGGTTGCTTGACTTTTTGTTAATGCTTAGGCTTCTGAGACCCCCTGTAGTGCAACGACAGGTTTGGCTTCAGAGAATTTGGGGGCTTTCTGAATTTTGCAGCAGTGTATCTTGTTTAGCTGGTGTGATGCTTTTGTGTCACCTTTCTCTTAGGAAAACAGGCAAAGTATTAGCAGTTTTAAAATGATAAATAGCTTGAGTCCCTATGGAAAAGGTTTTCAGGACTGCCACCTGCCCTGTCTGTGCCTTGGCATGCACTCTGGCCTGCAGCTCTGCAAGGCTGTGTGTAGGCAGACCCTGCTCCCAGCACCCATGCTGTGTCCTGCAGGAGGAATTGCTCTCCAGATAGGAAGAAATCCTGCTTCCTTCCCGTGGTGCTGCCTGGAGCAGAAGGGTTTGCTTAGAGTTAGAAGGTGAGGTTCATATCAGTATAAAACACCATGGAAATCCATTCTTTGGGAGTTTGGTATTCATTATCTCTGTTCCTGCCAGGCTCACACAAAGCTTACCTTTATTTATTTATTTTAATCATTGTAGCTTCCTAATTGTTCTTTCTTTCACTTAGCAAAGGGACTGTGTCTTTAGTCCATATTTGACCAACTTTGAGTAAAATTGCCCTGACACTGCTGAGAACAGGCTGCGTTTCCCCACTCTTTTCCTGCTCCACATCTATGGGGACATGGGCTTCAGGGGAGACAAGTCTTCCATTGTCCACAAAGGTGCTTTTCAAGAGAGCTCAGTGTGTCTTTAGAGCTCTGCAAAAGCCACTGGTGGTGGTCCCATCACCCTGTGGATGTCCCTGAAAGACCCCGAGCAAAATCTGTCACCTTCAGTGTTTTGCACAGAAGTGACTCTTGTAACCTCACCATGTGCTATTTTCATCTCTCTTGAAATAGCAGCTGCTGGAAAGGCACACATTGGCTTGGGAAGGGGCTCTGAAGGTGGACAATTTCTTCTAGAAGGTTTCCTTCCAAGGACAGTGGTCATTATTGAGGAGCCTTCAGGTAATATGGAAGCCATGTCCCAGGAGCTGTGCAGAAGGTAGCAAAAGTGGTTTGAGGAGTACGTGGATCAGTCAGTCTCTACCAGGGAAATCTGGGCAAAATGTCTCCCTCAGAAAATCAGGTCAGGCAGATGACGTGGGGCTCTGGATAAGATTATGTTGTTTGTTTTCAGAGCTTGCAGAAGTAGAGTTGTTATGCAGAAAGTATCACAGACTTCAAGCTAGTCTGTGCTTGAATATCTTTATCTGAGCAAGGATGTGAGCTCAAGTTCTCCAGCTTTTTCTGACTGGGGAAAAAACAAGGGCAAATCACTATTTTTTACAGGTGTATAACTGGAAATAGAGGTATTTTTTTCCCTTTGCTTCGAGCAGACCCTTGGAGCATTCTTCAGTTATAGGAGAGCATTGCTTCCAAAACTGTGTAATCCAAACTTTCAGTAGCACATCAGATGTTTGCAAAGATGCACAGTTGGGACTTAGATGTACATCACTCCAAGGCAGGGAAGTCCCTGAGAAATAAGCACTGACTGTAACATTTGTTTTTCCCTGCTTGAATTCTAAATCAATACATATTTTGGTATTAAATTTTATGTTCTTCCCTGAAAGTAGCTTTCCAAAATACTTCAGAGACTGTCCTAGCCTCTTCTTTAACAACAACAACAACAAAAAAAGTTTAAATAAAATAGTTCTTGCTTACTGGGACCCTCACATGGAGAACTGAACCAGGTTGAAAAGTACTTTACCTAAGAACTCATGAACTGACTAGCTGAAACCAAACCCTGCCATGATCCCAGTATCTTGCCACCATTCAAAACCACTAGCAGATGCTAAGAGAAGATTTGAAGAACCAGGCAGGTGCACAGATGGGCTTCTATTGTGTTTTCCAGCCTCTGTTGATTGGTGACATGCTGAATCTCTGAACTAGTGGTGATGTCAGGAGCCCTTAATTTATTTCTCTTCCAGTTATTGATACTCTTGATCCTGAAGCTGCATAACGCTTGGCATCTGGAACAGCCTCCAGCAGGGTTACCCAGAATTGAACTGCTGTCTTCAAAGTGGTTTGGTTTGTAATGGAGCTTCAGGCAGTAGCAGAGAAAGGCAGGCAGCCACAAGAAGTGATTTTCCAAATCTCCATGGTGGTGGTTAGATAATATCAGAAACTCAGTGGCATTGGGGTGATCAGTGCCTACTACACTTCAGAAACTACTGATGCAGTAAGAAGTATGAACACAAAATAGTCCTGACATCCTGTTTGGGTAGACATAGCAATTTTGTAATGAAATAATATTCGTCTATAAGTCACTTGAACAATGAATACATTGGCCTTGGCAGTGATTTAAATCTGCAGTCTGTTGTTCCTCATACCCGGTGTGCCCACAAAATGTGGATACATCTTGTCAGTATGGGTGGTGTGGGGAACTGCAGGCTGGGTACCAGGGCCCAGGGCTGCTCAAGTAGATTGGGTTTCCAGGCAAGTTTCAGACATCATTGCTGCTCCCCATATATCCGTTTTAACCTTAAGCTGAAGATTGATTATTTTTAAAGGTTAGCAGTTATGTAGCAAAAGAAACTGTCTCCTTTCCCAGCTTTGGGAAGTCACCATGATCTGTGACTTCACACAGTTTTAATTTAGACAACAACAGCAGCCATTTCAGGACATGCCTCCTTATTACTGTTCACGTCAGTTTCTTTGAAAAGAGAAAATAAAATAAAAAAACTACAGGTTAAATCCCCACTTTACTGCTCTCCTCCTGGAATCAGCTCTTACCTAGGCTATCCAGAAACAGGCTACCCAAGGAGAACACCAGTCAAATCACATCTCTAAAAGAACTTCTTGCAGGTTAAACAAGGAGATATGAGGAACAGGGACTGCCCTCCCTTGCCTTCTAGCTGTTGCCTGCTCTATCTTCTGCTGATGCTGGGTTGAATGAGCAAGACTTTTTTTTAGAAAAACAGCTCACACCTCAGACAGACAATTGATTTACCACTGCTTGGCTCATCGTGGTGCATCCTCCTGTGCAGCATAAGTGCTTCCATGGGAAGTACAGGACGATGTATGGTGTTCCCTGTCATTCCTTCCCTTTGCCATCTCAGCTGTGGTACCTGGACACCCTATAGGTATGTCCAGTAGGTGAGAGCAGGCACATGGGCACAAAGGATGCCTGTGACAGTGTGTACACTGTGCCTGTTCCTGCCTTTTAAATCTTTCTCCATAATAGTGTAACATTATTACAAGATGAATTTATAACACATCTAGAGCTAATGTAACAATGATGGTTAGTCCTCTGCTAGTCGATCAGTAATACACTTTAATTTGCCTACAGCTACTGTTATCATATTGGCATGAAAGGAAATAGCTTCTAATGCAGCTTCATCTGCTGAGCAGGAAGAAAACTGTGCTGCAGAATGTAAAACTACATAAGACCATAGCTGGCAGCAAAATTCAGAGTAGGAGAAACACAGCACAAATAAAAGTATTTGTGAGTTGGATATATCCTAACGATCCTAGTTTGTTGCTAAACGTGCCACACAGAGTAATGCAGTTTGCTTGGCAGGTGCAGCAGTGCTTCATCTGTTTTTCACTGCTTCATCTTCTTACTGGAATTTGTCCAGGAATAAAAGGCAAAAATTTGTTATCTTTGAGCTTTATGAAATTAACAAAAAGTTGATATTATAATTTTCTTCAGAAGCACTGATGCTGTTAATTAAATCTGTGTTTTGCTCTGTACCTAGGGAACCAGTGGAAATCTCAATACTCAAGCATAATGCAAAAGCTTCTGCTGTCTGTGGTAAATGTAGAGTTCCCTTGATGAGTGTCAGGTATTCTTTGAGCTGACATCTGTACAAATAGCCACTCCAGTGCTGACACATTATGTTTACCATAAAATAGAACTCCTGTCTATCAGTGAGTAGCAAAACCATCAGCTTCTCCCTTCTTCTGGAGAGGCACAAGATGTGTTTGAAATTCACCTCTGAGATAATAACACTTGATACTTACTGCATATGGGATAGGACTTATTTTTCTGAGCATATTATGCAAGCAAGATGCAAAATGAACTGATTCACATACTTTTGATGTTATTTACCAATTAAATACAGTAGTGCTTAAAGGAACAAGTTTTGTTTCTGGACTAGTTGTATGTCTCACTTTCAACAAAGGCAAGGAAGGACTAGTAATTTGCATGCAGGGAGGGAATGTATCTCTTCTGAAAACTACTGCCAGTGCGAAGGAGCTGCAACAGGGCCCTGTTAGCACAATAGGTCTTTGATGGGAAAGGTGGCCCCATGGAAAAGAGAGAAAATTTTGTGTGAATTACTGACAGGGTATCCAGGCAGCTTCTGCCAAGCTCACTCCATGGAGGTAATGAGCTCTTCAAAATGCCTGAGTGTGTTTGTTCTCCCATTACCTACAAGCTTTGCATCAAAGACTCACAAGGCATCTGACCATCAGCCCACAAAGGTGAGCTCTGTCACTATCAATCAGCCTGGGTCCTCGTGTTGCCATCAGAAATCCATCAGAGCCAGTTAACTACTGTCACTGCTCTAAACCAGTAACCTTCACCCTTCACCACCTGGTCCCTCCATCCCGCAGACACCTGGAATAGCTAGAATAGCTGCATACAAGCATGCCCTCAATTTGACAGTAAAACTGGAAAAAATATCAACAAACTGTTGTTTTTCTTCTTCTTCTCTCAAAAAAGTTGCAACAACACGACAAAGAAGATTCCTCTGACAAGTGGAGGACAGAAGAAGAAATGGCAGCTGAAGCAGCAATTCTGAAGAAGTATTTTCAGGAAAATTAAAGGTAATGATTGCATGTTTGCTTAATCCTCCAGTATCCAAAACTCTGTTCAGTCCTCCATTGGATTCCTAAGGACAGAGAGAATATTTAGAATAGAACACAAGAAATTAAAGCTCTTAGGTTTGTGTTGTTTCCAAAAAGACATGGCACTTCAGCAGTGGCTGAAATAACATGCTGCTTCTGGAATGAATTGGGACTACCCTAGAGCATTCAGTTTCCAGACAGCAAAAAATAACTTACCTGGAAATCAGAATCATCAGCAGTTACGTAAGAGGAATGTCTAATCTAACATATCCTCCCTGTGTTTTTAGAGCAGAAAACAGCCTTGATACCTCTGTGATGAGCTAAAAGCTGCTGTTTCTGTGTATATCCAAATACCTATGCATGCAAAATCCCAGCAGAATTCAGATATTAGAGTGTATAAGCAAAATTCTGTCTTCATCTAGCAAATCTTAAATCATCTGATCAGTTCAACTTCCAAAATCAAGCCTGCTGGAAAACTGCCTGTTCTGCTAAATCTTCCACTGGCCCTAAAAGAAGAAAAAATAAAAAAGATTTGCAGGGAGGAAGAGAAAATAGAAAACACTTGGCAAACACATTAGTGCTCTTAGAGACTGAGAGGTTTTCATTTTGTACCTGGAGTCCCAGAAGCCAGATTCTTCCAGCAGAAATGAACTGGCCCCCAGAGATCAATACGAGTTACTCTGGGATGTACGCGACAGCAGCAATGCCAAAAGCTCCCTCTCCCCTGCTCCCCATATGCTGTTTGACATCACCCAGCCTCTCATTTCTCTGGCATTTCTGACTCTCTCATATTTTTTCCTCTGAAGAACCAAAATCCTATAAATATCCTTCCTGTCTGCCTGTGACTCACTGCTTGCAGCCCAGCTTGAGAAATCCAGATCCGAGTGCGGCCGCGCGCGTGCCACGTTTACGTGGCAGCTCTCATCTCCTGTCTCGTTCTGTCACCTCCATTTGGGACGCTTCATCTGACTCTTTCTGCTCTATTTTTTCTTGCATAATGACCATGCTTTTGTCTTCCTCCAGTCAAATTAGCTGTGCCAACACTTCTGTGGACTGGCACAGAGAAAGCTGTGTAACACACGCGATACCCATCTGTGAAGGAAACTTGTCCTCAGCATCTGGGACCTAGAGACTCCCAGGGTTTGGAGCAGTAGGGTTTGGAGTGCACAGTGAAGTTTCCACAGTGGCTGCTGGATTTGTATTTAGACACTCACTTTTCACCTTCTCAGAAATATGCTTCTCAAAAATTAATTACTCAGCCAGAAAGAACATATCCTTAGGTAATGCATATGTAAGCACTCTTTGCTACTGACAGAGGTATTATGTAGCACTTCATCAGTGGCACAGCAGCAAATGAACAGCACTTAGGGTAAAATGGTGCATCCCTATTCCAATGTGATGTTGTTCCCCATTATGTATTTGTTAGGTTTTAGGGGATTTTTTTTGTCTGGTTAGAAAAGAATTTGAAATGCTTTTCTGCAGAGCTTCTCAATGGGGTTGGAATTAAATCCCCACATATAAATAAAAATGTTCTTAGTTTCTTCTGATACTAAACACAAAGCTGGATAGATGATATTAATTGATTCCTGCAAGCAAGTTCATGGGGCTGGACTTTTATTTCCATTTATTATGAAAATAAATCAGTGTGTGTCTGCATGGATGACCTCTTGATAAGTTCCCCATGATGTTAAGGTCATTACCTTTCCTAGAACAGACTGGTAAATTAAATCTTACTGGCATCATTATCATGATAATATTTTGCCTAGTACAGGCAGTCCTTCCAACCCTTGATTCCCAACACAAGGCATCACTGTCAACCTCTTCTCCCTGACATTGTTTTATTTCTGAGGTTTAAGGCTCTGAAGATGAACCTTTATGTGAGCACTTTCTGAATATCTCAGCCTTTATCTACTCTCTCAACCTTGCTTCTAAAAGTGATGAAGATTGAAAACTTTTGGCAAATTAGCAAGGTTATAGGCATCCTTCTTCAAAGCTATTTTTGTTTTTCACCTACAAAGGATTTATTTTGCCATTTATAAGTTTACCTGCATACTATTTGACTTGAGTTTTTCATGTGGCACAGGGAAAGTCAGAAAGAGCTGAATGTGGATGTTCTGAAGCCAACAAATAGCATTTTTTAAGGTCTCATGCATTATTTTTCTACTTAAGTGTTTTGCTCAAAGAAGCCTAGCTCAACTAGATTAGCCTGGACAGCCTGAGCTGTCTTTCAGAGCTTTCTCAGCTACCCTTCCATCTATCACAAGTCCTTCACCAACTGTCACAATTCCTGTAAGACTTGACCAGGTTCAGCAGCACCTTTTACATGTATTTCTAGACTATCTGATCAAGAATGACTTGCAGGTGTCTTTTTCCCAATAAATACTTGAACAAGGCATTAAGATCATGATTCTCTCTCTACTACATTGGCTAGAGTTGATTCCTCTTGGCAGGTTGGGTAGCCACAGGCTGGGTCCTCCTACAGCAGTCCCCAGATAATCAGAAATATCCAGCCACTTGCTTAAAGAAATGGACCCCATTTAGCCTTGCTAAGTTTACACCCTTAAGAAAATACTTATCCTAAAATAATTTGCTCATGTGTACAATTGGCTAGAGTAGATGATACTGAAATCAGTGAGTAAATTTGTCTATCTCAAGTGTTTCTAGTCTTTCCCTCCATGTCCCCATGCCACTGTGTATCACCTCATCACCTTGTCATCCCATCATGTCTGAAGTTCAACAGAACTTCATGTGACCCTGGATGAGGACATGCAAAGCTTCCTCTGGGGAGCATATTAAATACATAATTGCCCCAGTTAGTCGCTCACTTAGTAGTACCAAGCCATTCCTTGTTCAGTGCTGGCTCTCATGTGGTCAGCTGTGTTTGAAAATTGGCCACCCTTTGAGGTGGATCCATGGGGCAACAGTCCTTATTCAAAGAGCAAAGTTTGATGCAGCATCTTAATTTCCAATTTCCTATTTTCAGATGCACCTTTAAAATGTTCTATCTATAGCTGTGTCAGTGTTTTGATAGTCTGTTTTGTGCATTTTAAATTACACATTCCAGCAAAGAGGCTAAAGATTAAAAGGGTTACTAACCTTCAGATAGTTTATGAAAAACGTTTCTCTTCAAAGGAAATTTTGCTCTGTATTTTTGTTTCTGAAGAGAGAACCAGGCTGCACACGTTTCAGTAGAAGTTTTCCTATTTTGTGCACAACTGAAGTAATACTTTTATGCCATTAAAAAAGTAGTCAGTCTTAAGGACAATGTCAAAATGCCCCTTTGCATAAAGGGGTTGACAGTGATGTTCTGTTGCCTGGTGTTTTCTGAGTTACAAATATTCAATAGCTTTTAATTGCTTAACCATCTGAATATTTTGTGTCATTCAACGTGCAAAATTAATTTCAGAATCTCTCACACAATAGGGGCTGAACAGTGGTGCAGGATTTCTGATGTGAATTTTCCCCTTTCGCCCCAGTCTGGCAATGTTTCTGGAGAATACAGTTTTTTCAGCTTTGTCAAAGAATATGAATTTTATTCATTTTTTTTTTTCACACTGCTGTGTAAGAGAGATGATCTCATTCTTTGAGATCCCTCGTCCTGCCTCACAGCTGCCTCTTCTGCACCAAGACCTCAGCATGTGTGAAAAAATACTGTTCTGTTGACTTCAGCAGGGAAATTACCACTGTTGGCAGCAGCTGACCAGAGGGAATTTAAGCTGGCAATTTGGCTTGCATCTGGTTTGACTCCACAACCTCTGACAGTCCATGCTGCATGCATGGGAGTAAGGACCACAGAAATCCCATCACTTTTCTTAAATCTAGGCAAGTAGGACAAGATGGCTTGCAACACCCCTCTTCGGTTGCTTTACTGCAAGAAAAGTCCTTCCATTATTCCTAGTACTTTAAACTGAATTAAAACACAAAATAATGTGTCTTGAAGTGGATCCACAGAGTGGATCTGGGACAGGTGCCATGCAGTGAGAATCCAGCCAGGCTGTCCCAGAGGATCCTCTACCTGAGTAGTATGGACCACAGAGCAGGTTTTCTCCTAGGTGGGTGTCACAGTGACAACACAGACATGGCCAGAGACATTTTCTGCCATAGATACTCCCCCACTGCAGGCAGCCTGTTGGTGAGCAGGGTCACCATGCAGTCAGAGCAAATACAACATGCTGAGGGCTCTGGTACAGGCAGTGGGAGCAGGGGAGAGGAGTGCAGCAGGAAACTTTACTCCTCAGTTGTGGGAGCCTCACTGTATAAACAGGGCAATTTTTTTTTCTTACACTGGAGTTGGGCTCGAGGGGATGCCTGGTCTTGGGACCTTTCTAGAGAGCATTCTGGAGAGCTGTTTATGGCTGCACTTAGGAGCTGTTTGCATATAATCCCTGAATAAATACACATCCTAGTAATCTGCTATAGATTTCTCTGCTCTCCAGACTTAAGTGCTATTAATTATATCCCCCACTCAGAAGTCTCCAAGAACCATTAATTAGAAAGCAGAAGCTGACTGTTTGCTTGTCTGTGTGAGGCTGTTATGACCTGAGAGTGAAATATAAGCTTCAAAAGAAACATGTTTTATGAAGGTCACCTTGGAAAATATCATAACAATCTGTCAGGAGGAGAGAATGCAGCACTCCAAGTGTGCATCTCAGTGTGACATTATGCTTTAAGTAGTTGGAAATAGCAAAGAGAAGATGGATCAGATCATAGGGACTGTGCTTTTTCACCCAAAATTCTCTTCTTTTTTCTGCAGTAAGTACATATAAAGTAATCTTTTTGTCATTTCAGTCAAATGCAAGGAAAGTTAATATAGACAGAAATCCAACAGACAAACATCATCTGGCCTCTGCTGGTATTTTTGAAGTGTAAAGCATCCAGAGCCACCCACCACCTCTGCAGCTAGGAGAAAGTTAATGCACAGGAGTTAAGTTATCTCTTCAAGGGTAGATGCAAACAGCCAGAAGAAGTGCAGTGACT